ATGAGATGGGTTTTCTCTGGCTGCAGTTGGATACTTCCCAGGCACCCATCCCTCTGCCTATGACATGACTAAGGAGCAGAGGACTTCCTTTTCATGCTAGCTTGTGAATTAAGGTACTGTGTAGAACTGCACAGATATGAGATGCAAGACATGATAGTGAAAAAGAAAAAAAATCTTGTATGGGGAAGGTGAACATGAGAATCAATTGTACACTTGTGACCAAATACAGATGATGCTTTTCTCTCTCCCAGTACCCCATCTGTATACGTCAAAGAATTCCCCTCAAAGAGAGAAATGCCTCAAGCCAACATTGGGGAATATGGAGACTTCTAGATACAGTTAGATGATGGGTTGTTGTAGGTTTATTCGGGTTGTATGGCCATGGTCTAGAGGCATTCTGTCCTGACGTTTCGCCTGCACTTTGGCAAGCATCCTCAGAGGTAGTGAGGTGTTAGATGATGATTTCCATGGCTTGTGGTGTATGCAAAAATGCACTGTTGTCTTGTTTTTTCTCTATTTAGTGGAGACGTGACAGTACTTTTCAAAATAAAGTCGTGAAATGCAAAAATGGTGTACCATTTCGCAGAGAGGACAAAACATTTGTGAGTATTCACTACATCCCAAGTTAACAGTAACAAGCTCATCCAATTACATATTGAATTCAATTTTAAGTAACTTTCTGGAGGTTGTCAGATGTACTTTATTCTACCATGCTGTAAACTGCCTTGAATCCTGTGGGGTATAAATTAAATAAGTAAGAGTATTTATCATAGTCCACAGCTGGACTCATCTGCCAACTCTTAGCATGCTGAGGAATGATTTGGACAACCCAGTAGTCAATTAGACTACAGCAATGTAGTTTGTGTGAGGTTGCCCTTGAAAAGGGGTTGCAAGCTGCAAACTTCAAAATCCAACAGTCACTTTTGCAATTATTGTGGATTTTATGTGGGTTTTATGGTAAACCACTTTGAGATTTTCAGATAAAGGGCAAGATATAAATATTTTACTAAATACATATCTCAAAATAATGTATTTTAAGACTGGGCCAGACCCTTTAGATACTGTTAGACTTGTCTCCCATGTGTTGTTGAAGGCATTAATGGTTGGAATCACTGGGTCGCTGTAAATTTTTTGGGCTATATCGCCATGTTCCAGAAGCATTCTCTCCTGACATTTCACCTGCATGTGAGGTCTGTCAGAGGTTGTCAGACCTCACAATCTCTTAGGATGCTTGCCATAGATGCATGTGAAATATCAGGAGAGAATGCTTCTGGAACATGGCCATATACCCTGAAAAACTTAAAGCAATCCAATGATCTCCCATGATTCTTCACTGCTGACTAGGGACTGTTGCATTTCAACATTGTTTATAAAGCTGCATGTTTCCCGTTTCTATTTAAGTAATTATTCAGAAATTGATCCAAATGGCCACCATGCTCATAGATGTCCCTTTCCCCCTTCTGAATAAAACGTGATTTGATTGATGTACCATGAGGTTTCTAAATGAAGAAAATCAGTCAACCTGCATGTTATGAGTGTGAGAAGCCATAGGAGGGGACTCTATGAAGAGTGCCTTCCCTCCCTCTATGGCTTTGTCATAGCACACTGAAACAGAGTGAAATTTAGGTTCTAGCAGTCATGTAATCACACACACACAATATTAAAGTCCTGATTTTTCACTGCGGGATGACATTGGAGGGTAAAGCGCTCCCTAGAAATGGGGCATAAAGATTATATACTTCCACCCAATCAGTAAAGAGCAGGGTAGACTGGCCCAGGACAGGCCTCAATGCTGGAGGAAGATTTGAACGTAGGCCTCTGAGGTCTTAAGAGTCAGATCCCATCTCACCTTGGAAGTTAAGCAGTATGGGAGACAGGAAGATGCTGTAGGATTTATTTATTTATTTATTTTACCACACTTGTACCCTGCCCTTCTCACCGCAAAGGGGACTCAGGGTGGCCTTGCAAAGGCAACGATTTGATGCCACATATACTTATACATATTGATAAATAAACAAATGCATTAAAATCCAAACCAATTAAAACATAAAGATTAAAACATCAATTAAAATCACACAATCCAGGTCATATTCCAGGGCCAATCCGAGTTGTCATTATATTAATTTACAGTCTCTTATTGCACAGTTCCCATTTACTGACCAAAAGATTAGTCCCAAAGCTATGTATTTAGTTTTTCCCCTGAAGGTCAGGAGGGAAAGGACCGATCTAATTTCACTGGGGAGGGAGTTCCATAGACAAGGCCCTGTCTCTCGTTCCCACCAATTGTGCTTGCAAGAGGGGTGGAATTGAGAGCAGGGCCTCCCTCGATTATCTTAATCTCTGAGGTGGATCATAGAGGGGGATACGTTCAGACAGGTAAGCTGTGCCGAAACTGTTTAGGGCTTTATAGGCTAAAGCCAGCACTTTGAATTGTGCTCAGTAGCTGATGGGCAGCCAGTGGAGCTGGCCCAACAAGAGGGTTGTATTCTCCATGTATGCCGCTTTGGTGAGCAATCTGGATGCTACCCGTTGGACCACTTGAAGCTACTGAACAGTCTTCAAAGGCAACCCCACATGGAACACATTGCAGCAGTCTATTCGGGATGTAACTAGAGCATGGACCACCATGGCCAAGTCTGACTATCAGAGGAAAGAACTGGCAAAACCACCCCTGAATATTTTTTGCTCCAGGAAACACTTTAAAATCATGGAGTCACTATAAATTGAGAGGCTACTTAAAGGCATACACACAGTATCATCACATGGATGCTTGGTTCCTTTTGATACCAGTCATCAGGAAGCATAAGTGTAGCTGAGCACATTCCCTACTGATGTGGATCCCAACTTTGGTCTTTCCAGGTACTCGTGACTTCAGCTTTGCCAACTTGACAAACTGTCAGAAATTCCAAAACACTTGGAGGACCTAAAGAGGTTGCTCCGATCCAGCAAGGCTATTATCTTTCTCATGACAGTTGACTAAACAGATTTAGGGCATTGCAGAGGTGGCACTGCATACTACAAAGAGCCCAAACTACAATCTAGGAAGTCTTGAGTAAAGCTTAAATCTCCACCTACTATGAATTCAACAGGAGGAACTTAGACCAGCCAATCCTTTTTAAAAAGCCCTGTGAGGAGATCCAAGTTATCCATTCAGCCATGAAACTCACCAGGGTGTTTGCTCATTGCTCCTTTAAAGAGCCACACCTTGATGGTACCATATAAATAAATACCATGTGCATTGAGAGTTTGAAGTAATTTGGAAAAGTACTACATAAAATTGGAATGTGTTGTTTACTTTGGAGAGAGCTGGCCATAAGCAGGCTTTGAAAAATGACCCTCCATCTTGAATAACTTAAGACTTGACTGCTGTATTGTATGGCGCAAAAGCCTTGAGACACAAGGCCAAGCTCTGCCCCCTCCTCCTCAACCAACTCCTGTTGCTCCTGACCCCGTGTTTTGGTGCCAGGAAGGGGTATCTCCCAAAGAAGCCCTCTCCCCCAATTCAGTTGGCTGCCAAGGCAAGGCAATGGGATGCTGGAATGCACCCTCCAGACCTCCATCCCACCCCAGTTCCACAGCCTGGAGCAAGATCTGCTCAAAGGATTATATGGAACAAAGAAGAAAGCAAGTCTTTCCTGGCTGCAGCGAGGTCTAGAGGATGTTATTAAATTTCATGGGATCGGGACTGGGAGGGTAGGGAGGCAAGGAGAAGTCGAAATCCCACAAGAGATTGGCCCACAGCCAAGAGCACACGACGCCTGAAGTCAAGAGTTGGGGGGAGGAGAGAAAAACGTTCCTTGAGAGAAGCTCAGCTCCCTTCGTGGCGCGCACCCAGGGCTTGGCAAGCCTGGCTTGGGGGCCCAACGCGACCCCCAGAATCCCCGGATGGCCTGTCTCGAGGGAGACAGCCCCCTTTCCCCTGAAAAGGAACTTCTCTCAAGCTCTCCGCTTAAAGCCCCATTCACTCCTTCGCAATGCCTGCAACAAAGATCAGGTAGAAACTTCGCAGGCAAGTCCTCTTTCCTCCCCGCCCCTCGGAAAGTCTTCCCGTCCTGCCAAAAAGGATGGCCTTGGAGAGCAAAGGAAATGGTGGGCTTCGTCTTGGAATGGGAGGCGGGGGGGCAGGAAGGTTGGAGAGGGAAGGAGGCAGAGCGAGAGAAAGGGATGGAGAGAGAGAGAGAGAGAGAGAGAGAGAGAGAGAGAGACCCTTTGGCACACAGCAGCCCCAGCAAACGTGATCTGTGGAAGGGCCTTCGCCTCTCCAAGGAACAGATAGTTTCACATCCTACTCAGGGGAGAGCCAAAGCAGTGGAGCTGGAGATCGTAGGTTTGGGGTGTATGTGTGTGTGTGGGGGGAGGGGGGGCGTTACAACCATTTGTGTGTGCACGCGCGCGCGTGTGCGGAAAGCCAGAGAGCGAAGTTTCCAAAACACAAATGCTGGGCCATGGCTTGAGCTGAAGAAGGGAGACATCAAAGCTCCTCGGTAAATGTTTGTAACTTTATGCTATACCAGGCAGATGCAGTGTGTGTGCATGTGTGTGTGTGTGTGAGAGAGAGAAGTTTCCAAAATACAAATGCTGGGCCATGACTTGAGCTGAAGAATGAAGAAATCAAAGCCCCTCGGTAAATGTTTGTAACTTTCTGCTGTACCAGACAGACGCAGTGTGTGTGTGTGTGTGTGTGTGAGAGAGAGAGGATGTACGTACAGTAGATACACACGAGCACAATGAGAGCCAGCTGGCGCAGAGGATTCTGAAGCCTTTCAAAAACTTCAGACACACACGCGAAGTTCCGACCAGAGGGAGGGAGAGCAGAAGAGTCAGGGGGAGAGGTCCTTCTTCTTTGTGCCTATCTAGATCTGGGCCCCAAACACACGCGTACACATCCATAAACAAAACACACTCAGGGGGAGGTTGTTCTTTACGCAGTGAAGGCTCTGCAAGGCGCAGACCCTGACGCAGAAGTGCCCTTTGCGCTCCGGGCGCGCTTCGCTCCTTACCTGTGGCTCGGGACGACGGGTCTTCTCCTCCTGCTCCCGGGGGCTCTCCATGGGGCGAGTGGGCGGCCGGGCTTTGGGGCTGGGTCCTGCTCACCTGGGACATGGGGTCGAGCCCTGCTGGAGACGCCGCCGCTGCCACAAAGCGCAAAGCCAGGCGCCGAGGGAAGCGGGGCAGAGGGACGGAGGCAGGAGGCGCGCATTGAAGACGCCCCCTCCGCCGCCGCCGGCCCACAAGGCGCTCTCTCCTGGGGTTGGGGAGGTGGTGGTGATGGTGGTGGTGGGGGGAAGGGGGGGCTTGAATCAGCCTTTGAGGGGGGGAGCAGCCCCCGACTTGCTCCAAGGCAGCCCTCCCTCTCCGCGCAAACTACGAAGGAATTCCAGCTTGGCCACCAAAACTCCTGGAGCGGAGACACCTTTCTCGCCTCTTGGAGAAATCGGCAGCACCACCTCTCTCTCTCTCTCTCTCAATTCCTTCCCCTCCGACACAGAGACCTCTCTCTCTCTTTTTGGAGGAAAAGGAATCAATGTGGGAGAGGACTTCCTTCGGGGCGACTCTTTCACCGCGCTCCCACAAGTGTCATCTTACTGTTTTACTCGGTGCCAATGTCTCCTCTCCGCTAGGTTTCCGTCCTCTTGGCTCTAAACTGAGGTGCAAAGTCAACAACTCCCCTCAGCTTCCCCACGCGGACCCCACTTCTGCTCGGGTTCCAGCTCTTTAGGGCATGCCCTCCATCAAGTCCCCCTCCCTGAAGAGGCGCAAGAGGAGCTTATCTCTTTCTGGCTCGCTCTTTGTGGCAAAGTTTGGTCACAACTGGAGAAGTTTCTGCCTCTCTCTCTCTCCCCCCCCCCCCCCCCCCCCCCTTTCCCGGTGAGTTCAGCCTCCAGGCTCTGAGGCAGGAAATTGCATTCCGGCCTCGATTACTCCGTTTCCTTGAAGCAAAAGAGATATTTGGAGTTCAGGCAACCTAGAATAAGTTGTTGGCGCTCATCTCTCTGTGTGAGTGCTTTAGACGACAAAAGTAAACACATGCTCGGGAGCGCGCGCACGCACGGAGGCACGCACGCGCCAAAAAACAATCCCACAAACCCAAACTCAAGAAAATGGAAGCCGAGGGGAAGGGGAGGGGGAATCATACGCGGACCGAAGCCCATTTACATTACAGTTAGCTCAACGGAAATGGCCTCTCCAAACCTGTACCGTGTCTGTTCTAAAAAGTCGTTTGCACCTACAGTCTCAGAACGCAACAAAAGTCGAGTCAATGCGATGCTGTCCCATTAGAAGACAGTTTTAAAGATGTGCGAAGAAGGAAGAGACGTGCTGTCAGTGGCATCTATATGGGGGGAAGGGCATACCACATTGGGGGACACCTTCAGAGGGGATGGCAAGAAAATGACTCATCTCTTAAATATGTTTTTTCTTCGTGGTCTCTGCGAATGCACACTTGTGGAGAGTCTGCGCCTGCGCGGGCTCCAAC